AGAAGCTTCTTAACTACCTCAGTGACTTCAGCTTGGGTGATGGACGAGTCCACCTCCGAGCCCCCGGCCTCTGCTTCCTCATCGGAAGACATGGTGCTGGGGTTGAGGAGATCCTCGAAGACGCATTCCAGCAGGAGACACAGCTGTATTGATTGCTGCCAGCAAGATTCCCGTGCTTTAGTGATCAGATGCAGGAATACCCAACAAACTAGCTTCTGCACAGAAACTGGAAATGAGCAAGCAGTTTCTTGCTCTTATCACAGAAAGCATGAAAAAGAACAAGCCAAAAAGCTTCTCAACATCACTCACCATTGCTGTTTAGGGGCCATATGTGAATAACCAAAAGGTACAATTAAGACAAGAAAGAAAAATCAGTATATTGTGACATTTAATTTAATATTTTTAATCTTATTCCATAGCATAATGCTCATGGTTCTTATATCAAATGAATCATTATTTACTGAACAAATCATTCATATAGTCAATGTTTTCCCCAAGTACATTTTGTATGACTTTCTTTTGTGCTAAATAACTAGTATATACAATACTCAATTTAAACTTTTAATTGAAAGCAAAACAATTAAGCATTTCATATATTAAATGGTAAAGGAAAATGTTGAACTTTAAATGCTAAACAGAATAAATACTGTGGAATACCTATCAGGAAAGACAAAGGTGTTATAAACATGCAAATCTAAAATTATCTTTTTTGAAAATCAAGTGGACGTCAGGACAGCAAAGCAAAAAGCACATCATGTTTTTTTTTCTAGTTCTTATAAAAAATGTCACTGTTGGCATTCTGCTGCAGATGAGACTGAGCGCAATAATCAATTCAAGATTAGATAAGGGCACACACAAAGGCAGCAGCGCATACTCACAGCACAAACTCATTTGGGTGTGAACAAGCTGTGGTAATTTCATGAGCAAAGGCCAGGGAGGAACACCTCCAGTGAAGCTGTTAAAGGAGGCATACATTAGCTGAGGATGTGGTTGAGGGCCGGTCAATAAAATCAGATCTTTTCATCTGTTGTAAAAGCAGCTCACCTCCCACTAGGGTGTAATGACAGTCATGAAATAGAAAGGAGAGTCAACACCAGCATTACCTGAGTTAATTCATGTTGTTGTGCACGAGGTGCAGAGCTACCTCATGCATAAATATGATATCATAAATGTGAATATTTACCCTAAAAGGCGGTATACATGCCTCAATCTGCTACTCTCTCAGAGCGTCACTTGTAAGATTTGTGGCTTTCATGTACAGTAAACTGTCTGACATGAAGGGAAAGATCATGATCTGGTGTTTCTGGAGAGTCTCGATCATCTCTGTCATGATATCTCTAAAAGTAGTATTACAGCTCAAGAGCCTCAAGCAAATCCAGCTGCCATCCAACAGCACATTTGGAACTCTTGACCCAGTTTAATCCACATCCATTCAAAGTACCTCATGTAGTACAAAGACGTCCTGTTTTGTTCATTCAAATAAATGCTAAGTCTCAACATAAGCCAACCAACACAATGCTAATGGGAAAACAATATACTGTATAGCATAGTTTCTTGGAGACAGTTTTGGATGATCTACAACACCCCATATACACAGTCATAATTACTGCAAATGTAAATGAAGATTTAAAAAATATATATTTAAACAGTTAACTTCTCTTATTATATAATGTCCACTAAACTGTTGGCAT